TAATGATGTTGAGGGAGTCGTCGTTGGGGAGGAAGATGCAAACGCTGCGGCGGTCCTGCATGACTCTGTTATTATGGAAGTTCAATTTGTTCATCGTGTTCTGGGCTCTCTCTAGTGGATCGAGGGGCGCTCCTGGGCCTGGGAGAAACGGCTGGGGCGCAGCACTCAGCAGCCAGCAAACCTCCTCATCACCCCGCACGGCTCACAGGGGGGACGTGCCAGCCTGGCACGCCATCACTGGGGAAAGAAAGAAAGAACAGGGCCAGGTCAGGAAAGGGGGTCGGCTGGGCTACGTGCACCAGGGTGCAACAACCTGTAATCAGTGGTCCTGGCTCTACACCTGTCCAGAAAACAAAGGTTCCCGTCTCCCATAGCCATGATTTCAACCCAAAGACCCCAGCACAGCTCTATTTGCATGGATTCTCAGCACCGCTACATACTTCCCTCCTGCACTGGCGCAAAAAGCTGCCACTGCCCACACAAAGAAGTATCCGGACTTATTTGAAGGCAAGGTTCTTTGAGTAGATGTGATATCTTTTATCAGACCAATAAAAGATGAGTTGGTCTAATAAAAGAGCTCACATCCACTCCAAAGACCCTTGCCTGCCTATGTCCTCAGACCAATACAGCTATAACCAACAACCCAGCAGACTTATTTAAGCACACTCCGATGATGTGCAATGCGTTTTATTCAGGGGCTCAGGCAAGGGTCACCGTGCTACTCCTCAAACGCCCGCAATGCATTATCCAGGCAGGTTCTGGCTCGGCGACTCTCTGAGAGTCAGCATGGGATTTATTCTTCTTTTAAAAAATGCATGCACTCCTGCTTGGCTTTCACAACACAGCGGCAGGTGACAGCTACCCAGGGAATAGCTTGCTCCTATCAAGTACTGCGAATAATGCTGAGATTTCACTACCTCTGCTGCTGCAGGCCTGGGCCGACCCCGCTGGCTCATGAAGAAGGATGCCACTACAGGTATCAAATGCCATCACCTGTAAGGGGACTGCTCAGCATTACATCACTGGTACAGATGGGCACTTTCCAGGGATTTGAAAAATGACAGCAAACCTCACGCTGTCTGGCAATTGTGAGTAGGGCAAGCAGAGATCTGCTCCACTTCCATTTTTCAGGCCCCTTTTTTCCTGCTGGGCCTGAGATCCCACCAACATGCACATGCCGACAGCATCCTTTTCTGTGCTGGCTTGGTAGCTGGTCACCAGCTGCCCGAGCCTGCCAACACATGCATCTACCTATACGTCCACGAGCTCCGTGGAGAAGCCGACGTGGGAATACCCGGGAGCACTCAGCATCGGCGCCCTGGCCTTTCCCAGCGCACGCAGATATCCCACAGTTGTGCACGGACTCAAAGCAACTCACGGGAGTGGCAGGGCAGGGGCCCGCCAGCCAAGTTGCTGAGGTTCAGGTACCACGTAAGACACACCACAAACCCTGCTTTATTTTAGGTAGGTTTTCCCCATCGCAGATCTGTTGAATGCTAAAGCCAGAGTCCTCAGCGTTGGGTAAACTCACGAAAACCTCTTCGGAGAGTACTTTGGCTCCAAATGGTACTAAAAGCCCCATGCAGCAAGGAGCTCTCGTACTGGGACAGCATTAAACAGTGCCACGCTGACTTGGACTAGCCAGGGGTATAAAGTGCCTTGCAGATGCGGGGCCTTAATTACCTTCCAACCCCGCCACCCAAAACCTCCCATTATGACACTTTAACACCACTCAAACGTCCCCGCTCCAAGGAGGGGGGTTCAAAGAGGACACCGCATACTGTTTGACCTGCGAGAACAAAAGACCGGCTTACTAGGAAACCTCTGTGTGCAGAGACATTAGCTACGGTGCCAGAAACTCCAGCTGATCCTCAAAAGGCTTGAATTGGCAGTTTTATTCTTACAGCTCAGGTTCAGAAAAGCCTTTAAAAGGCTTTACTGTCACATGAAAAATGTGGGGGAAATGTATACATGCTGGGAACAAAACAGAGAGCTCTTCTGGAGGGAAAAGGCAGGGTGTTTGGGTATGAATAGGTGGAGCTTGCTCCTTTCAAACACCTTGGAGCAGGGGTAGGTAACCTCTTCTGCAACCTGCCCCGGGTCAGAGGTGCATGGCTGGGTGCTAGGGCCCCATTACTGCTGCCTGTCTCCCCAGCAGCACAGGGACAGTTTCCATAGGCTAGATGCAGCCTATGGGTTGAAAGTTGCCAACCTCTCTCTTAGAAGCAGGATGTAGGTGCATGCACACACACACATGTGCACCCGCCCCTCCACACACACTCAAATTTACACAGCTTTGCACCATTCACAGAAACACTTCTTGCTCCAGGAGCCCCATCACATCCGCCCCGCAAGGCCATGCTTAAGTGACATGAAGGTCTTATTTATGGTTGTCCATCTAAAGTCTGCTGATCGGAGGGTGCTTGGAAGCTGCAGTGACTAGGCTGCCAGGCTAGGAAAAGCTCCAAGACACGAACTGCTCTCACCAAGCACTACATTTTGCAATGAACCCCTGGGAAACCCCGGGGCAGGCACGACTGCAGCCACTGCACCAGCCCAACTGCATTTGGGTCTGCTTTGATGTGGTCATCACAGAGAAGCGGGGCTGGAAGGGGTCACCTAGTCCAACCCCCTGCCTGAGGCTGGATCATCCCCCTCCAAATCAGCCCAGACAAATCCACTGTCCACACTCTGAGCACAACTACATGGGTGATTCTGGCACAACGCAAGATGCCCCTGGACCTGCCTGCCCAGGGAAGGCTGCTGTAAAGGTTGCTAATATAGGCTCAAGAGATCCCAGGTAGAGGCTGCTACAGGAAAAGGCAAAACCATCCCCAATCCATACCAGTCTGACCGGGGGGAAATTCCTGCCTGACCCCAAACACGGTGTCAGTCTGACTCCGTGTGGAGGGGCAAGACCCTTTTGCCAGGAACCTCCAGGTTCGAGTCCCAGCAGGAGCCCGGGCACAGCCCAGCCAGGGCTGCAGCCAAGACCAATGCTTTTGAGGAAGGCTTAAAAAAAAATCCCAATCCATGCAGCAGCAGGGTGGGAAAAGGTTCCCTCCCAATCCCATGCGGCAACTAGCAAAGCCCAGAAGCATGAGAAATACCCACAGTAGGGCAGAGGCATCACGACGCCTAAATAGTACAGGTGGGAGTCTCCAGCCAGGACAGCAGCAGGTGACTGCACTCCAGGCACCCAAGCCCAGGGACAGCCTGAGATGCTTCAATCTCTGGTTGGGGACAAGGAGAGCCAGGAGGGAGCTCTTACAGCAGCAGTCCTCCCCGCTGGCAAGGGCATTGCTATCTTCCCATTTTCAAGAGGGAAGGGCGATGCAGAGAGTCGCTTTGGGGTGCTGCCAGGGGACATCCTAGGTGCTGTGATTTGGACTGCTGCATTTTTGCCAGTTTGGTCCCTTTTGCAGCAGGACACCAGTAAGCCTTTGCTACACCCCCCTGCTTTTAATTCCCCAAAGGATCTATAGGCAAATAGAGCAGAGGTTACTCCCGTGCATTAACTAGCTTGTTCAGGGTCTCAAATGCTACGGCTGGACAATGCAGCCGGCTGCATGTCTTCTGCTCTCAGGTCACACACATCCCTGTGATGCCTGAGCAGTCATGCACTAGACAATGTTACTAACATTTAACATCCATCCAAAGCCACTGGATTGAGGGTTGGACTGGGACATGGGAGATGCAAGCTCAGGCTGAGGGAGCTGTGTGATGGAGGGGCACTGGAGCTTTCTTTGCATTAGCCGGGCAATAATAGCAGCCTGGCCACGGACTTCAGTGCAAGCCTGAAGATCTTCCAGGGCAAGTTGTGGCCACACCACAGCTGGCACCCAAGCCAGAGAGTTTAACTCCAGCTTGGCTACAGTCACAAGGGGGCAACTTCTGTGCAGACAAACCCCCCAGACCAAAGCTCAGGCTGGAAAGCTGGAAATAAAATGCAAGTTAGCAACGAGGGCCACTCAGGAACAGCCTGCACAGGAACATGGAGGATGGACTAGCTGGTGTTTCTCAATCAGTGGGGCTTCTGCACCAGATGCTTTCCAGTGATGCCAGAAGTTGCTGGGCAGATGAAGGGAACCGGGGAGTGGGGTGGGCTCTGCTAGCCAGGAGGTCAGGCTGGATCATTACAACAGCCCCGTAGGCACATACATCTATTAATATCTGCTCTTCACTCTGCTGCTGGATGTCGGTGCAACCTCAGATGAGCCACTGAATATCTCTGACTGCTGTTCACGGTGGGGGCATCAGTGAGGGTGCGAGCTGTGCCATGGGAGTGCACCCTAGCTCGGGAGGGTCTCCTGGCACAGCTGCCTGCCGCTACGTGTGGGTGTGTACCTGGGGGCTGGAATAGGCTCCGTGGACTGGCTTCATCACTAAGCAAAGACAGAAGGGGACAGGATGGGATCCTCTCCATGCAATTGCCTAGCTCAGGGTGGACAACCTGCAAGATAAGTGCCACAAGTGGCAGGGTTGTTGGTTGTAGCCGTGTTGGTCTAAGGACATAGGCAGGCAAGGTTCTTTGGGTAGATGTGATCTCTTTTATTAGCCCAACTAAATAGCTGGAAAAAATGTTCTTTGCAAGCAGCCTCCTTATGCCTGAAGAAGGGTGTTGGTGCCCAAAAGCTTGCAAGGAACCCTTTTTCCCAGCTATTTAGTTGGTCTCATAAAAGATATCACAAGTGGCAGGGGCAGCTTGTGTGTGTGTGTGGCATGCTGGAGACTGGGGAGGGAACAGGGAGCATGGGGCAGATAGCAGCAAATCAGGCAGGGAGCACAGGACAAGGAACAGAAAGCAGAGCAGCAGATCAGGCAGAGGAAGGGGACTGGAGTGGCACTTGGGGAGGGTGTGGGGCCAATTTGTGGCACGTCTGACCAACAGAGATTGGCCCACACTTGGCTAGCTCTTAGCCCATCTATTTGGGGCAGCACAGGTCTCAGGTTTGGGCCCATACGATTACCTGACACAGTCTTTGCCAGAAAAAAAAAAAAAACATGCTGGAAGGGAGCCACATGCCTACTGCAAGTCTGTGCAAAGAGCACAATGACCTACATTTCTATATTTAAACGCCTCTCTGTCTATAGCCCATGCGCAGTGCTCTGCATCTCCGCCCGGGAGCAAGTCAGGGCCAAACCTGACCTGAGACCTGTGGTTGAAGCTCCCCGAGCTGACCTGACACAATCAGCACCGGGTCACAACAAAGCAGCCGCATGGATTTCAAGGCTCATTAAAAGTTATAGGGGGAGCAAAGCAGAGCTTGGCAAGACCCGGCTGGCCAGGCTTCCCGATCAAGCTGGGACATCGATGCCACAATGGCCATAGGAAACCGAGCGAGCAATGCTGGCAGCCAGTGCCCTTCTGCCAGGCTCAGCGGGACACCAAAGAGCACCGCGCTGCCGACTTGCTGAGACGTGGGCAAGGTACAGACCGGAGGTCGCTATGGCTGGCAGGGGGTCAAGAAGGGCTGGTTAATGCAATGGCTCAATTCCAGTTTGGGCCATAATTGGACAGCAATGGCATCTCTGTCAGCA